AGGCCTCTTGCACCAAGTAGTTAGCCAAGTTGTGAATGCAAAGGAAAAGTTATTGAAGGAAATTAAAAGTGAAATAGTGGACACACGAGCGATAGGAAAGTAAAACAGCTTGATTGCTGATACAGAAAAAGTATGAGTGGTGGTCTGGATAGAGAAGATTAAACCAGCCACAAAGTTCCCTTAAGCTGACGCCTAATCTAGAACAAGGCCCTAACTCTCTTCAATCTATGAAGGCTGAGAGAGGTGAGGAAGCTGCAGAAGAAAAAAGTTGGAAGCTAGCAGAGATGGTTTCATGTTTAAGGAAAACAGCCATCTTTGTAAGATAAAAGTGCAAGGTAAAGCAAAAAGTGCTTCTGGAGAAGCTGCAGCAAGTTATCCAGAGATCTAGCTGAGATAATTGACCAAGGTGGCTACACTAAACAATAAGTTTTCATGGTAGAAAAGACAACTTTCTACTGGAAGAAAATATTATCCAGGACTTTCATAGCTGGAGAAGTCAATGCCTAGCTTCAAGCTTCAAAAAGACAGGCTGGCTCTTTTCTTAAGGGCTAATGCAGCTGGGGACCTTAAGTTAAAGCCAGTGCTCATTACTCATTCTGAAAATCCTAGGACTCTTAAGAATTATGCTAAGTCTACTCTGTCTGTGCTTAGTAAACGGAACCACTTAACTTGATATGAGCATAGTTTACTGAACATTTTAAGTCCCACTGTTGAGATCTACTGCCTAGAAAAAAAGATTCCTTTCTACTGCTCATTGACAATATACCTGGTCACCCAAGAGCTCTGATGGAGATGTACAAGAAGATAATTGTTGTTTTCATGCCTGCTAACCCAGCATCCATTCTGCAGCCCATGGATTCCGGAGTAATTTTGAGTTTCAAGTATTATTATTATTATTACTATTATTATTGAGACAAAGTCTGGCTCCATCTCTGAGACCAGAGTGCAGTGGCACTATCTCGGCTCCCTGCAACCTCAGTCTTCTGGGTTCTCCTGCTTCAGCCTCCCAACTAGCTGGGATTACAGGTATGTGCCACCACACCCAGCTAATTTTTATAGTTTTAGAAATGAAGGTTTTTCCCCATGTTGGCAAGGCGGGTCTCGAACTCCTAACCTCAAATGATCTTTCTGCCTTGGCCTCCCAAAGTGCTTGGATTCTTTTGAAATAAAGCTGTTATTAAGTAATTCTTTTAATAATGCAAAAAACTCCTTTTTAAAATTCTATTTTCTTTTTAGAAATTTAAAATCACTAAGTTGTCACTACACCCAACCTCAAGTATTCTTTTAGAAATAAATTTCATAAGGCTAGAGCTGCCATAGACAGTGATTTCTCTGATAGATAAGGGCAAAGTAAATTGAAAACCTTCTGGAAGGGATTCACTATTCTAGCTGCCATTCAGAATATCTGTGACTCGTGGGAGGTCAAAATATCAACATTAACTGGAGTTTTAACAGCAGCTGATTCCAAACCTCTTGGATGACTTTGAGGGGTTTGAGACTTCAGTGTAGGAAGTTACTGTAGATGTAGTAAAAATAGCAAGAAAATTAGAATTAGAAGTGGAGCCTGAGGATATGATTCAATTGCTGCAATCTTACAATAAAACTTAAATAGAGAAGAAGTTGCTGCTCATGGATAAGCAAAGAAAGAGGTTTCTTGAGATGGAATCTACTCCTAGTGAAGATGCTATGAACACTGTTGAAATGTCAACAAAAGATTTATAATATTACATAAATTTAGATAATAAAGCATTGGCAGGGTTAGAGAGGATTGACTAATTTTGAAAGAAATTCTACTGTGGACAAAAATGCTATCAAACAGCATTGCATGCTGTGCAGAGAAATCTTTTGTGAAAGGGAGATTCAATAGATGTGACAAACTTCATTTTTGTCTTAAGAAATTGCCACAACCACCTCCAAATTTAGCTACCACCATGCTGATCAGTCAGCAGCTATGAACATCAAGACAAGACCCTCCACTGACAAAAAGATTATGACTTGAAGGCTCAGATAATCATTAGCACTTTTTTAGCAGTATTATTGTGTACATTTTTCAGACATAATGCTATTGTGCACTTACTTAAACATAATTACAAGTTATCTTTAGACTATAACTGAAAGTTATATTTAGACTATAATGTGCTGTAAACATAACTTTTACATTGGGAAACCAAAAAATTGGTGTGATTCCTTTATTGGGATATTTGCTTTATTGTGGTCATCTGGAACCAAACCCACGATATCTCTAGGTTATGCCATAATTTAAAGATAGGATAAGCAACATGTTCTGATGGCTTGGATATGATGCAAGAAGGACAGAAATGAATTATGACTCCAAGATTTTTGGCCTGAGCAAACTAGAACAAAGGAGTGCCAAATGGGAATTAGAACAATGAGGCCCCATGGGGATTGGGACTAGTGAGGCAGGGAGTTTAATTTTGGACATGTTTAATTTGAGGTGTCTGTGAGACACTCAGAGAGTCAAAAGGTCAAGCTGTTCAGGCAATGTAAAAGCAGAAAAAGAAGGCAGTAGCTAAAGGAGGGAGAATATAAGGTTAAAAGGTTTTGGCTTTATTTTTCAAAGGTGAGAACTAGTAAAGCATGTTTTTGTGCACACGGAAGTGTTTCCTGGAGAGGAAAGAAGTCATAAAGGAAAGAGAGGGAAAATTATGGGACACCATGTCTTGAGTAGGTTAGGGGTAGGATCTGCTCCGCCAGTGTAGCGGCTGGCTTTAAACAGGAATGTGGACAGAAGGGCCATCCGTTCTATCGGGAGGGAGGGCAAGGTGTGCAGGGACAGATGCAGGGAGACTGTGGAAGTCCTTCTGTTATTGTTTCTCTTTTCTCAGTGAAATAAGCATGTAACTCAGCAGCTGAGAGTGCTCTGTGCTAGCAGAAGCATGTAGAAGAGATGTGACAGGTTTACAGACAGAGCAGAATGTTTGAAATGGTCTTCTAGGACGGTAGTTTTAAATTTCAGCTCATAATCTGATAGAGGGTGTTAAAACCAACTTTGTAATTTGAGATCAACTTAGTGATTTTAAAATGAAAATAGAATTTTTTAAGGAGTTTGTTGTATTATTAAAAGAATTGCTTAATGGCAGCTTTATTTCAGTTGCATGAGTGTGTATTTGCATGTATATTAGGTTATAGCAAAATATTTTTTAAAACACTTGCCCAGAATAGTGGGAGTAAATGAATAAGGAACTGTCAAAGACAAAGTCAAGGTCCTAGTTAATGATCATAAAGTCGAAATATTTCAGGTAAAAAACAAAAAACAAAAAAAAATCATAAAATGGACTCATAAGATCTTGGCATGAAAACTGCTAGAGGACCATAGTCCCTTCCCTACCACCTGCTGCTCCTTCTCCCTACCCTACTCCACTCCCCATGCTAGGAAACCTTTTCATTTGAATATTTCCAGTAAGGGGAAGATCACCAGCTTACAAGATGTCAGAAAGTAACTTTCTGCTCTAAAAAAATGGGGCCCTCACAAAAGCAGTGAGTAGAGGCTCTGGCAGGATTTGGAACTTTGTATACTTAATATGAAGTTTGACATTATTATGTAATAACAAACTTGATGGCTTTTCCCCATTTCAGAGAGCTGTAGATCCTCAAAAACCAAACTAGTACCAGAGCACTAAGAAATCTTGTTTTTGTTCAAACTGTAGCCCAGAAAGCCACCAGCTAGCTTTTAAAAATATGCTCTTTCTCATCCTTACTAACTGGCAGTGTTAATGGATGATTGAGCTAAAGTTTATGCCTATATTTTCTTCCTATTTCAAGATTTGTTGTTGGAACTACAAATGATTTCAATCAAATGATTTCAAACAACTGTACTTGGAAAAAAAATTCATCCGTTTTTAAGACTTTACATTTCTTAGTTGCAGAATTAGTTTTTTTCCCTGCAAAATACATTTAAAAAATGAATATTTAAGAAGATATCAAAATGTAATGTGAAAATAACCATTTATATTTTAAAGTCTGAGCTCAGGTTATTTTCTAGACATTGTAATTTAGAATAATAAAAGTACTTCTCCAGTTTTACATTTTGCCTGATTGTTAAAAATGATTCTGAGATTATTAAGATGATTCTGTTCACCTGACCAAGTTCTGAACCATGTATGAGTTTTTTAGGAAGTACTTTTTCCTTATTGTAAATGCAACATACAACTTAGTTCATTAGACAGGATATCAGAGACAAAGCTTATACATGAAATACAGTCCCCCCGAACAATGCTGCTCTCTTTCTCCAGTGTTTATTTTGATGTAAATTTGAGACACTGAATAGAAGAATTCAAATTTAACTAATAGAGAATGAAGGCTTGTAAAAATGTACACTCTGCCTACATCAGTAAGAGTATGCTAATGTATAACATCAAATATTTAATCTTAGTCTACTTGTAAACCAAAATCAAGTAAAGCCTGAATCTACCTTCTATTGTTTTGGGGTTAGAGTCTATATTCTAGGACTCATTTAGTAGTTTCACTTCTCTAAGCATCAAGTAAAACAGTTAAAATTACCAAACAGAATATGAAGTTCATCTCATCATGTAATATGGACCAATCACTCTGTTATTCTTTATCTAGACCTTCAAATACTTTATGTAAAATGTTTCTATACGAAAGGAAACACACGGGATTAGTTCCTCCTCTAATACTTCTAAAGAGCTCTACCATGGAAAGCTCTCTTCCTTCCATTTTGCAAGTCTCAACAAGTCTGCTGCTGAGTCAGAACCTCCTTTTTTCCCTGATGTAAGAAATCTTTCTCTCTTGAAAATTCATAAAGCTTAGGAAATGTTTAGTCTCCCTGGGGGGAAGGGGCGGGGACCCCGGAATGAATGTGGTGGGGAGGAGTCCCACGCTGCAGCCCTGATGATGGCACATGAAACACTTTTAAGAAATGGAGCTGGCACGGGGTTACCATGGGAGCTTGCCGCGGAACCCGTTCCACGCATCAGAGTGTGCAAATAACCACGCGGAGTGTGTTTGTTCCTCCTTACCCAAATGAAAATGCCTGGAATACAGCCGGGACTCCGAGGCTTCATGTTTACCCTGCAGAAAACACTCTCGGCGGCTATAGGATGTCGGTGACAGCAACCCCTCCAGCGCCTAAAACATAGAAACAAACCTAGAGAGCGCTTCCTAAGACGACGAGGAGGCCCTAAGTCGGGGACTCGGGGTCTAGAGGTGCGGGGCGACACGCTCCGCGGACTTCAAGCAGGCACAGCCCAGACGCGAGTTCGCCACAGGACCCCTCCCGACCCCGGGCTGGACCGGGCTCCCGCGTTGTGCTGGGGGTCTCGGGCGCCTATTTCAATGCGAGTTCGCACAGTGCAGGCGCCCGTCGGGGTCCCAGGCCTCAGTTTCCCCTGCGGGCCAGCCCCGCCCTGGGAACCCCGAGTGGTGAGGCTGGGCTTCTGCGACTGAGGGCGGAACGGAGGTGACAGGAAGGAGGCGGCACCGCGAGGGGCGGAGACGCGTGCGACCCGGGCAGGCTCTGCGCGGATCCCGCGCCAGGGAGGGGCCGTTGCCCAGGAACCGTCCCTTTCTCCCGCGCGCGCCCGCCCTAGTGCGCGCGCCCGCCCAGTGCTCCAGTCGACCCCCGCCCCAACTGGCCTTTCCATTTCCCCCGACGCAGAGAGACCCAAGGAGACGTGCCGCTCGCTCCCGCCCTCCAGGGAGCGCCAGCGCGCCCCCGGCTGCGTCTGCATATTAATGAGGGGCGGGGCGGGGCGACGGGGGCGCGGTGGCCTCAAGCCCGCGCGTGCCAGGACGCACCACGGGGGGCGGCGCGATTGTGAGGTGGCGCTGACGCACGTTCCGGGGTTCTTAAGCCGCCAGGGCGGTGGCGGCGGCGGTGGGGGCGGCGCCCGAGCAGGTCTCGGGAGGTGGCGGCGGTGATCGCCGCGAGGGGTGGTGGGGCCGAAGTCGGTGTCCACTGGCTCAGTCACGGTGTCCCTCTCTCACTGACTCCCTCTCCTTCCACCACGGCCACGCAGCTCAAGAGCCGGCGGCTTCCTAGGTGGGGCAGGGGAGGAAGCGCTTCTCCTCCCGCTGCCGCCAGCCTGATAAATGAGGGATTTCGGGTTTGGGGTGCTGCAGACCGCCCCGCTCCGAAGCAGCAGCCCTGGGCCCTTGTTCAGCGGCGAGGCGTACGGTCCCTACGCCGCGGGGTCCGCCAACTCACTGCCCTCCGCCACGCCCTTCGGCCCGCTGTCGCCGCCACCGTTGCCTGTCACCGGCTTCTTAGAGGCCGCCTCCCCCTTCTCCATCCCCCTCGGCGGCGGCGCGGGCAGCCCGGCCGCCGCCGCTTCCTCTTCCTCCTCGTTCCTGGTGCATCAGCAGACCATGCAGGATGAGCTGCTGCTGGGGCTGACACAGCAGCCGGCGCGGCCGCTTTCGGGGGCGGCGGCCGCGGAGAAACTCCCCAACCACCACCCCGGCGGCGGCACGATCGCGGGTGTGACCCACCTCCTCCCCTCCCAGGACTTCAAACCGAGTCTGCACCACCCCTCCTCCTCCTCCGCCTCCTCCTGCTGCTGCTGCCGCACCTCCTCCCCGCAGGACTTCAGTAAGCGGCAGCAGCAGCAGCTGAGCAGCCAGAAGAGGAAAGAGTTCAGCCCTCCCCACCTTCCCCACCCTCCGGACTCGAAGCTGCCGCCGCCTCCGCCGCTCTACTGCCCGGGCCGGTTCAGTCCGCCGCCGCCGCCGCCGCCGCCGCCGGCCGGCCATCTCCTCCAGCCCGCGCAGCTCGCCCAGCTCCAGCAGCAACAGCAGCCGCAGCAGTTCAGCCTCCCGCACCCGCAGCACCTCCCGTCGCAGGACTTCGCCCAGCGGCAGCGTCCAGCCGACCTGCCCCCGCTCCCACAGCTCCCGCCCTCGTCGTCCGCAGCCCCGCGGCGCCGCCACGGAGGCGCGGGCAGCCCTCGCAAGACCCCAGCCGCGGGCGAGGGCAGCGCCACCGAGTCCCCCAATGCGGGCTTGGCCCCCTCGACGCCGCCGGTGAACCCCGCACCGGGCTCCATGGAGTCCCCCAACCACCCTCTGCTCAACAGTCCTAGTAACCTCTTGCCCGGCGGGGCGCTCGGCGCGGGCGCCTTCAGCAGTCTGCAGAGCCCGGACCTTCCACACCCCGGCGGCGGCGGCGGCGGCGGCGGCGGCGGCAGCGGCGGCGGGGGCGGGGGGCCCCCAGGAGGCGGAGGGGGAGGCGGCTCCGCGTCGCCGCCGCCGCTGCCCGGCTTCGGCACCCCCTGGTCGGTGCAGACCGCGTCGCCGCCACCCCAGCCCCAGCAGCAGCCGGCGCCCCAGCCGCCGCAGCAGCCGCCACCACCCCAGCAGCCGCCCCAGCCGCAGCCGCAGCCGCCCGGCTCGTCGGCCACCACCCCGAACGGCGGCGGCGGCTCGCTCAGCGCCATGCCGCCGCCCAGCCCCGACTCTGAGAACGGCTTCTACCCCGGGCTGCCGTCGTCCATGAACCCGGCCTTCTTCCCGAGCTTCTCGCCGGTGTCGCCGCATGGCTGCGCGGGGCTCAGCGTGCCGGCCAGCGGCGGCGGCGGCGGCGGCGGCGGCGGCGGCTTCGGCGGCCCCTTCTCGGCGACCGCCGTGCCCCCGCCGCCGCCGCCCGCCATGAATTTACCTCAACAGCAGCCCCCGCCGCCTACAGCGCCGCAGCAGCCGCAGAGCCGGAGGTCGCCCGTCAGCCCGCAGCTCCAGCAGCAGCACCAGGCGGCGGCCGCCGCCTTCCTACAGCAGAGGAACTCCTATAACCACCACCAGGTACGGCGGGCGGCAGCCTGGCTGCGCCACGGGGCCAGGAGACCGCGGGTGGGGGACGAAGGCGGCGGCGGGGAGGCCAGGGACCCGACCTTAGCTCGGAGAGAAACCGCGACGGGAGCCACTCGCCCAAGTAAGAGTGGGACTGAGAGAGCTGACAACCGTGACAGGACGCGGAACCCCAGCCTCCGGCAGGGCAGAAGGGCAGTGGCCACCGTGGGCTACGCGGATCTGGGAGACTAGGTCGCTCTGGGAGCCGCCGCTGGCCCGGCGCCCCCTCGAACGTCCCGGCGCGGCGGTGGGGGCTGGGGCAGAGGCTGAATAGCGCTGGGGCGGCGGGCGGCCGGACGCGGCAACTCTCCCCGGCCCTCCTAGCGGGCGCACACAGTGCCCCGGGCCTGGAGGGCCGCCGTCCCGGACCGCCGACTCGGGGAGGCGCGGCGAGGACCGGGGGCGGGTCGGGGACCTAGGAAGAGCGGCCGTGGGAAGTGAACTTGGGCAGGAGAAATACAATTGCCGGAGAAGGTGCGTGCGGGGGAGCCCTTGATTCTGCCCCGCCGTCCAATGAGGGAAGGCGGAAAGGCATTTTTTTCTTTGGAGTTTGTTTCATTCTTAATTGGCCGGCGGGATCTCGCCGAGAAGCCACATCCCGCCGGGGGGTCCTTCGAGCCGCTCCCAAAGCTCCGCCCACGGTCAACCTGCCGGCAGCGCCGCACCCTGTGCTGCCAGCGAGTCGGGAGGGAGCAGCCGGCCGCGTTCCTCACCGGACCTGGTTCCCGCGGGGCCGCGTCCTCGGCTGTCACAGGACTGGGACAGAGAAACTGTTAGTGACGGCTCCGGTTCAAACCAAGATACCCCATGATTGCCCTAGTTAGTGTGCTTTTCAATGTTGGGGTTATGTTTTGTGGGTCTTAAGACAAAACTAAACTTGGAGCTGGGATTAGTGTATCTCCTAGACTTTTAGGTACATTCTTTGGTGGCCCTAACCTTCTACAAGGGATTATGTGGGCCGTGTGTATTTTAAGTAGGTAGTGTTATGAAATAACACTGGGCAGAGTATTTATCTGGATCTTTTCTGATTTAAGATTTTTTTTGTTGTTGTTATTCCCTCAATACAATTTTTGGGTGACCGGTGGGTTGGTGAGTTGACGTTGAAAGAATGTCTTGTTAGTTTTTAATCTTGTTAGCATTTGTTGCAGTGTTCACTCTGTTTAAGGCCATTTTCCATTTTCGTGATTAAGCATTGAGAGAGAAGCAAAATTTGACCTTAACCCCATAACTTTTTCAGCTGACCAAAGTTTTCAAGGATTACCTAAGTGAAAGTTAACAGTTTATCTAAATGACGCAAAGTGACAGTTAACAGTTTTTGTTGAATCACTGATTTCTTTTTACAAAAGAGAATGTGGCCTATAAGGTTTGAAGATAGGGATATTGAAATAACTTTCCACTTTTACATGATTTTTATAGTCCTCTGCAACTGTCTTTTGTGTCTCAGGGTCTTCATTTTGTTAACTGGAAACTTGTCCACAGAAAATTATCTATAGGTAATTTTGTATTCTTAAAGTTGTGATACAAAGCACTGGAATAACATATACCGTGATCCATATTTAACTGTAATCTTCTTTTGGACAAAAAATATGTCTAGCCATGGAGTGTGACAGGCCACACAGCTTTCATAAAGAATTTTAGATCACTGGAAGACAGCTTTGAGCATTAACTTATTTAATAAGGAAAGTAAGGCCCTCAAGAATGAAGTGATTTGTCCATGGCTCCCTACTTATGCTTTGGGACTCTGTGGAGGGGGAAGGGGTAATATATATTCATGACTATGTTAGCATTTAAAAGTTTTTAAACGTTGGTGCTATAGATCAGGATTTTCTCTTTTAATTGTCTTATAAAAGGTTCAATTTTAAGAGAACCATATTTGTTTTTAGTAACTGCATGGCTCATACTTCTTTCGCTACATCTTAACACCAAAGTATTAAAGTATAAACGTATTGACAGTAGAATTACCAGCAATGAGTACTTCTTTAAAAAAAAAATACCAAAAACCCAAAACTACAATTACAACCTTTCAGTGGGATTTCCATCCTTTAATGACTTAACTTTTCTTGCCCCAGGTTTTAGATTAGGATGTAATTTACTTTTGAAAATGAATCAACTTGATGGAGACTTGTATCAAGATCTCTACTGGAATAATCAAAGCATGTAGTTAATTGGCGGTATACCTCAGTGGATCCACCTATGGGCAACATCAGATAATTGCTTCACAGTTCATGGATAATTAAGTGATATAAAAACAAAAACACTTTAAAACAAACTATACTAAAACTGGAATAAAATGCCTTAACAGTTAAATAAGCAATGTAGAAAAATGACGTAGTTTCTATGCTGTTCTTATTCTAAAAGGCGTTTTTAATTTGTGCAATTGAGTAAATTACCACTTTTGTAGTAGTGCAACTTGTTTTGGAAACATGAAGTCTAAATATTTCACTTGGATGAGTAGGATATTTTAATTAACAAAGAACATATTTTTAGTTGTGTGCCTAGCATAATATGGTTGCTTTTAGATCACCGTGTAGATTATATCTTTAAGAATCTTCAAAGTTAATTTCAATTTATTTTTTCTTCATATTTATCATGTATACAGTTATTTTTGAAGGAAAAAAAGTACATGGTTCTGTTTTCCTGTCATAAAATATCATGATATTTATAGTAGACAAGAAGATGAAAACTGTACCAGCATCAAATATGATTTCACGTAAAAAGATCTCAAGACTATTAACTTGTACAAGCTAGGAAAGATGTATTATTTTGTCTTTATATATTTCATTATATAAATTCTTAGGTCTGAAATTTCAATTTGAATTGTAAACTCTTTAAATGCTGTAATTTAAATAGATATGTTTTCCCCAGCCTCTTCTGAAACAATCTCCCTGGAGCAACCATCAGAGCAGTGGCTGGGGCACTGGAAGTATGTCCTGGGGAGCAATGCATGGCAGAGATCACCGTAGAACCGGCAACATGGGAATTCCAGGAACAATGAATCAGATATCTCCATTGAAGAAACCGTTTTCTGGTAATGTCATTGCACCACCGAAATTTACTCGCTCAACTCCATCACTGACTCCAAAATCTTGGATTGAAGATAATGTTTTCAGAACAGACAACAATAGTAATA